AGAGTTTAAGGCCTAAGAACAAGGAGGATAGATGGTGAGATCGGGTCTTAGCACTAGTTTAATTATTTCTGGTCTTACTCCCACACTCATTTTGGATGGCCTTTCCGTGTGTTTCCTTATATGATGCTTCTAAGGCAAGTCTTAGAGCTAGTCTTAGAAAATTTACCAATCCAACAAAGATAATAAAGCAGAAATAATAAAAGCGATAAGAACACCGACTATTACAAATATCTTAGGAAGATGTTCCTAGGTCATAAAACACGAAACTACTAAATAAGAAAAGCCTAAAGTAAATAATTAAGTTTTCTTGTGGTGCACCTGACTTCAAAGTTCAGACCCTTATTTATAGTTTAAATAGGAGATATCAAACTTATTTTTCCTGATATAGGACTACGTGGGACTTGCTAAACTAATCACAAGTAATCGGAGTTTGAGCATTTATGAGTTCGTAAAGTTAGCAAAACAGTACACATTAAAAATACTCCAGAAAATATGGCAGATTAAAAGTAATGAAAACATTACATAGTACTCCTTATTTTTTTTGTACTATTCTCTTCTCCTTCGCCCTCAAATTCTACATAAAAAACAACAGCAAACACCATTTGATAGTCCATCAGCGTCGAGCTCCTGAAGCTCGTCGACCGCCTCCGGTCGGTAACCCGAGACGGTGCGTCGCCGTACATAATGCGAGACTTACTGTTCCCGATGGAAGACACGAGTAGGATCAGAACTAAACTAGTGCTAAGACCCGATCTCATCGTCTACCCTCCTTGCTGATAACGCTTCTCCTTGAAGGCGCTGTGTTAGTAGCGCTTCTGTATATATAGGTATCGAGAGAGAGAGAGAGAGAGAGAGAGAGAGAGAGAGAGAGGAGGGTGGTCCAGTTATGAGCGTTTTTGTTTCGCGACCACCCACTTTGGGAGATGGCGATTGAAGCTCTGAGGTAGGAAAGGGATCGGAATACCTCGTAATAGTTCTTTAAGAGCACCGCACTTCACATCGTTCTTATCCGGTTGTGTCCTCGTTGGCACCACCGAACTGTTGGCCGACGCCGGCCACCTTCGCTATTCTAAAACGGCACGTAAGTCGCAGATACATGTCTCATGCCATTCTTATATATATCCAGTACGATGATTCATTTCTCATGATGGGACCTCCACAGATTTGTGTAGTTATCGTCACAATGGCGTGTATGGAACCCACTAATGATTATTTTTAGCCAAAAGAGTAGAAGCTTTTGGGGTAATCGAATGGGCATTTGCATCATCACAGCTATCAGTGATCCTATCCAAGTTTTCGTTCGTGGATTTATGAGTGATAGCATGCAATGTCCCTCTACTCGTTCATCAGCAATGCTGCGGGCATTGGCTGCCAAAACAGTGATCACTTGAAGTGAGGGACAGTTAGTTCTTCCTTCCTTTCTCCTCGAATCCTCTCTACTTTTTCCAAGGGTTTCAGTTGGAGCTTCCCTCATGCCACATTGATATCGACCGACTGATGAATCCAAATCCATGTCACCATCCACAAGCATAAGTGGAAGTTCAGCATGAGTACGATCGATCGCCAGAGAAATAAAACATTGGATTCTCGGGCCCGTGGCATTCTGCAGGATCAAAGTGGGCGCCTTGTGATGGAAGGATGAGCCACGCATTATCCGCTAAAAAGTGCATCAGTGGGGGAATCATGTTGGACAGCCAAGTGCTGACTACAAACACAGTCGACTCTCCACTTCAAAGGTCAAAATGAAGCTGCATGCACGAGACCATCCAATGTCCTTAAAAGAACTTTCTCGACGTGAATGTTGTTTGAAAGAGTCTCCTAGATAACGTATATTCAATTGATTTTGTTGTCTTCACATGATGCGTTGATTAATTATTGGAACACATGAATCCTCTTTACGTCGACTTTGCTACCGTGATATGTGCTGATATCACACGAGCTCTAGGGAACACTTGTTGATCATGAACAGCGATTCCCTCAAGTCCAAAGGAGGTTGGTTAGTCGAGGCTAAGGCTTCTTCGCCGAGTAAAGAGAAGGTTGGTCGGTCGAGGAAAAGGCCTTCTCCCTGGGTTCAAACAAGGTTGGTCAGTCGATGTAAGACTAGTAGAGGGAGATCTTCATAGAAGGAGAGAATGATTTGAACTCATAAGACTTCATTTTTTCCGATCAAGCCTCCCTTTGTGAGGAAGGTGCCTAACACAATCAAGTTCGATCAACCTTGGCCATAATCGAGCCCAAGATCTGATCCATGCATCAACTAAGTTCATTCGGCCTATGGCCCCAACCTCGGTTATCGTAGAACTAGAGACCTACTAGAGCTCAATCGGATCAAGGGCTTTGATCTTGTGTCTACATATTATGTCATAGATTAGGTAGCCTTAAAGTTAATATAAGTCATTGGTAATAATGTTTGTCTTCTTATGTTTATTGTAGGATTATAAAAGCATTTAAAAACATATTGGTCAAACCTTTTATAAATGAAACATTCAATTTCATATTTATCATAACTAAATTTAAAATTTCTATAACTTTAAATTTTCTATGGTTCATGGTTTTGTTATATTAAATTCATTGGTTCATTTAAAAATTTACTATCACGATGAGATAATTGATATATTAAATTCATTGAGTCTAAACTATTTCGTCTCAAACTAACAGTAGTATACCTATCAGACCTTTATAAGAGTTACACAATTGCATACGATAAATTGGTGAGAGAAGTCAGTAAATTATTGATTTATAAAGATATCATCCCAAATAAGTAGTTTATAATCATTTTTTTCAAGTCAATCTGAATCAAAATCACTAAAGGAAGGTACTATTTTTGGGTCATAAAGATATTAATATAAATAATTTTATCAAAGATGATAAACAAATTGTTCATGAGAAATCAAATTATCTAATAAAAGCTTAGGCCAAGACTTAAGCTAAGCTTATATAATTTATGCGATAGGTCAAAAAATTTAATTTTCATAGAAATTATATATTAATGATTAAAAATGATAGCATTTTAAGATCAATTACAAGGAAGTGAAACATAATAGAAAATATTTGAAAAGTCAGTATCATATATATATATATATATATATATATATATATATATATAAAACCCAAAAAAAGTGAGCAGTATAACCATCAGACCTAAAACTTTACCCATACCAAAAGAAGCTTTTTTTTGGATCTCCATTTTAGCAAAATGCATATGTTAGATGCCACATTCACCAATTAGAGGGAATTTTGAGCCCTCTAGGCATATCAGAGGGATTGTCATTCCATGCATTATAATAGATTTTTCCTGTAATGTGAACTACAGTCAGCATTATGATCCCTCAATGGTCCATTTAGTTTTAGATTAATCCTCCAAGAGGACCTAAATATGATAGAGAAAATATAAAAATAAAAATTCCTCGAAATCCATGACCAGAGGAAATACAAAGAATGATATGAGAAATGATTCATTTTTAAGACTCGAATAATAATGTCCTTGATTTAGTCTCACAGGTTAATTTAAATTGATTTATAAAGATCTATATATTGTTTTGAACTTAAGTATCTTGAGATTCAGATTTAACAAAGTTAATAGATCAATTATCCTATTAAGTCGTCCTAAAAATTTAGATAAATTTAAGATCAGCAGAGTTTTTTTTTTTTTAATGAGAGATTACGGAAACTCGTAATACTTTGGAGGAGGCTCCGAGAACGAGGAGAAGGGAGGGTGATGACCCTTCTTCTTGGTCGCAGCAGAGAAGGTCGAAGCGGCCATGTTGACGTAGAAACACAGATTCTGCCTAAACACTACTAGTATGCAAACACCGCTACATCCTTTCTCAGAACTACTGCACTGGACCAGGCTTTTCTTTGTGTGTGTGTGTGTGTGTTTTCGGAGAGTTTAAGGCGTAAGAGCAAGGAGGATAGATGGTGAGATTGGGTCTTAGCACTAGTTTAATTATTTCTGGTCTTACTCCTACTACTGACAAAATGTGTCAGTTTTTAGTTTTAAGAGTAAGACCAGAGATTAAACTAGCGCTAAATCCCAATCTCACTATCACCCAAGCTTTGTGGTGTACACATTGCAGTCGATCGTTAGCTTATATAGAAACAGCGGGAGAGACAGAGAGAGAGAGAGAGAGGGGGGGGTTCTATATCCCTACTGTACACTTTTTCTTCCTAGATTGCATTGAATCTTTGAAGTAGGATATGGATGTGAATACCTGGCAATGCCTTTTCCCTCTCTGTGCCGCCATATCTTCCTGTACTGATTCATATGATGCTTCTGAGGCAAGGAATCGGAGTTTGCAGCACAGCCGTCAGTAGTGATGCTGCCGAAGCTTTTTGATCGTGCATTCGAGAGTGTCAACACCATCTAGAATTAATTCTTGGGTCGATTCTTAAGAGCAATTGGAAATAAAGAAATGCTGCATTATGCACGAAATGGGATTCTTCTCACTTTTGCTTTCATTTTTGATGGTCGAGTGAAGGTACAGCTGCGGCCTCTTTGCGCTTTCCTTTGCCCCTCGTTTCTTCTCTGATCTCCGTTTCTTCCTCCACCAGTTGGCCGCCTCCATTTCTCCTCGTTTCAGTCGGAGCATCGTCTGACCAAATCGACATTGACTGATGAGGATACGATATCCACGTCGGAGCCCATTACCGAACTGGATTTGATGGTTGGAATCTAGGAAGTGCTCACCAGCTTCAGTGGTGGAAGATGAGAAGGCAAAATCACGTTGTGGCATATCGCAGGATCGAAGTGGGCGCCTTGGCAGCAAAGGACAATAGCATCTGTTCATCGTGCTTGAAACACAAGCATAGGCAAGTCATACTCCCATCACATCCACGCACTAGCACCCAAAAGCGCAGATGCGGTAGGACAAACGACTCCTCAACATCCAAGTACTGAGCACACGCATCCAGAGTCCGATTCAACACATACTAATCGGAAGAAGACTTTGCTCTAATGCGGAGTCTTTGTCAAGCATATACCTGAACAACGTTATGGTTGGTCTTTAGAAAACCAAACAAAAGATTTTTGATTATGCTTGTGACCCTCATCATCCGATACATGTCAAGTGTGATTTACAAACATGGATTTTAGAAAATGTACAGGTTTTTTTGTTGCTTGAAGCACATCAATTTTGGCATGCATAGAAGACCAGGATTACAGTGGCACATTATCACTGATTGTAAACCAGTCTCAAAATAACTCATGTTGATCAGGCTTGTGGTCAGAAATGGCAGGTTTACCCCGTCCGAAGGAGAAACCCCTTGTTCCATCTGGCATCCTCGGCCCTTGTACAGGCTTGTGTGGAAAATCAACAGCAGAAGCAGGGGGATTGCGTCCATGGCCTGTGGAGAAGAATGATGAGAATTACACGGACTAACAAACTGAACATACCAGGCAAACATGCAAGGAACATACCATGGTCATGCATGCTCAAAATGTAATTTTCTTATAATATACAAAAGTTATGAACACAGTAGTGAACCCCAGCAATCTGGTCAGCATAGCAGATATACATCAACAAAATGCATGGAATATCTATCATACAAGCTTATGCTATCTGGCCATCTATATAAATATTAGTGGTATGCCCACATATCGGATGGTGAAAAGTAACTCACCACACTGAACAGATGGCCTAGGGACATAGAACTTTAGGAGTTAAAACTTCAGTTGGCAAACCAAAAAAATACTAGCACTCCCAGTCCTTACAGTGTTCTACGTCAAGCTATGACTAATAGCTGATTGTAGTGACAACATATTACTAGATTCCTGACATTTTCTCTTGAAAAGAAGTGAAATGACAACCCAAAATGCTTGAAAGAAATACAAAGCTGAAGTAAACAAACATATGATGGGACTAGAGAAGCCATAAGGTACTATACCATGTCCATTATCACTTTGTCGAACTTGACCTCTTCCTCGACTTTTGTATCGATTCCTTCGAACACCTTTACCCTGCTCTCCTTCCTACATAAACAAGGATTTAGGGAGAGGAGGAAGTAATTCAAGGTCACAATGCCATTATGTTAAGAATGCTCATATGACACATTAGGTACCAAATGGGCAGGGGAAAAAAGAAAATCTCATGATGTTGTTATTTGTCTATAAAAATATCCATGATAGATGTTAAAGTTTATAGTTGTGTCGGTGCATACGTCTCAATTAGCTGCATATAAACATCCGGTTTAAATACTTGATAAACTGGACCTTAAGGAAACCAAATACCAAATGACATTGCCAGCGCATAAACTCAGAAGCGACCGACCTCAGTTGTGGGTAGCTCCTCATGGTTGTCTAATGAACTCTTCTCCCTATCTGCAGTTGGTTCGTCTACTTGAGCACTATTGCTCTTCTCAACGGATGTTGCCTTGCGTCCTTTTGGGACAAGCCCATACTTTCCCTGAAATAAAATGACTTTAGTTATGAAAATAAGTCAGCCAATCCAAGAAATGCAAAACAGGATGCAAATTACCATTCTCTTGAGCAAAAGCTCAACACGCATGCCACTTCTCCAATTCTTTTCATCATTCAGAGAGCTGACCTGAGTTAGTGACAAAAAAGAAAACAATGCTTTGTGATGATGCTACTCTCATATAAGCACTACAAAACATCTTTAGATATAAATGGATCACTCACAGCACTCGCAGCTGCATCAACTGTTTCGTACTCAACAAGAGCATGTACCTGAGAAAGGTACCGGCAAAATAAACATTAGACACTGGACATAGACAAGTTCAACTCTAATCACAAAAAAACAGCCATTTATTTCCTACATATACATCCCATAAAAAGTAAATGAAGACCGGTTTTGGTCACTTGTGTACACAAAATTTTGTATACCTTAGAGCTGATTGTGGCTCCAGACTTCCAGTTACTTGCTGATTTGTCTACTGATCGTGGATCATGGAGAGTAATCTTCACAATCCTAAACAATTTAAGCAGAAGCTTCCACAAATAGATTCCCAAAGGATTCTTTAGTTAAAGATATAACAATAACATACTTTCCGAGTTTGCCGAAGATTCTTTGCATATTTTCTTCTGATCTATCATCCGGTAAATTCTCCACTAAAATAGTTCGTGACTAGCAGGTCAACAGTCACATTTTGGAAATTAGCACCAATCTGGGATAGATCAACATGTCAGAGAAGATTAAGAAATTACAAAATGTACCTTCGCTTCAGTGGTTGCAACAACTGGCAATGGATTTAATCTCCTCACTTTTTTCCCATCCTCACTAACAACCTGCAGTAAATATATCAATTTGCTTAGTTTGCTGAATAAAGTCACCAGCATAACCACCTCAAAGAGCACAAAAATTCCACATGTCTGCATATAATTAAAAGGCCATATATGCAAGGAAAGAAAATACAACAAGAAAATTTATGCAACAACTTACAAGCTGGGAGGATGTTCTAAGTGCAGCTTCAATTAAAGATAGGTCTTGAACAAGCTTTTTCATTCTTCTAAAGGATGCAATAACTGCAATAGGAACTGCAAGAACCAAATAGAATACAGTTACAGATTAATGAGTAACACAACTTCTTGTGTTCTTATCTAAATTGTATTCAATAATATGTATGACACGATGAAGGCCATATTGCAGCCAAACTTCATATCATTAAGAAAGTCTTATTGTCTACTCCATTACACGACATTTTCTTTTGTAAACTATAACTGTTCTAGTTCTATTATGTGTCAACGTTCAGCCTTGTCAGCGTTCTTAGTACTAGGCCAAGCCCAAGTTGAAGTCAGCGCAATCCCTAACCTCAACACCAATCCCAGAATTCCTTGTACAAATCAGTTTACTTCAATTAAATTCATGATTTCATTCCTAATTTCTCAGAGTCATATTTCATCCACAATAACATAAATTTATTCTACATTACAGCATATTACAAATTTGATTCTGCATAAATTTGCACAAATCATAATTGTAAATTAAAATTTATAACCTCTTCCATGGTGCAAAAAGGCACTATATGTTAACAACAATAGTCAACCAGTAATTGGCTATTACAATATGTTCAGACAACATGCCCCAAGCACAAGTCCAATACAGATACTCAAAAGGTGACAACATTCTGCTAACATCATCACTGGTCAATAATCTCAGTTTATTACAAAAATCCAATTTTATTACATTTCAAAAGTTTTAACTTTATTTCAATCACAGTTTAAAAGCTACTAGAATAAACAAAGGTCTAAGCTCTCGATAGAAGGGTATTTAAATTAAATAGGTTTGCAGTGTTTCTGATGCTAATGCCCACAATTGTCATGTGTCTTTCAAAAAAATCAACAACTATTCTTAGTAACATTGAAGAGTAGGGTTGTGCCAAACAGAATATCAAAAAGAAAGTCTCAATGGAAGGCTGAATAATAAACTCTACTGGAATACACTCAGTATGCACAACAAAGCAAATCGATTTATATCAAGCATACACAAGATATCATACACTATCAATGGCACATGAGACGTTCGATTGACTTAGACTCTTCAGCGAATGGAAAGGCATCATGTTGCACTTGCAACAGATGATCAAGTGTTGTCGTACCCACCATGGGTACAACACGCCTCCCTTAACAAATAAGAGACCATCTAGCTACCACAAATGACAGCTCGTAATTCCAATGGGCATCACCCTACCGTCACAGGACTTTGGTCCTCGACAAGAATCAATATCCATCCTAAATACTCAGTGTCATGCATTTATATCATCATTTTCAAATTGCATCATGAACACATCCAAGCATATATACATATGATGGGTGACATCAGCATCAACGAGTCAAGAGAAGTAGGTAATATAAAACATGAAATTGATTCCCAAAGATAATGGATCTAAGGGGTAGGTTGGATCTTGATCCAAGAACTATTAATATTTGAACTAAGGGGTATGTTCCATTTTTATATTACACGGTAGGTCAGTATTGGTAGTGTGATACCTTCGGGTATCAGTGAACTATTAGACATGATTGCTAGATGATCTTCTACTTGGTAAGGGAGACGTGCCGTAGCAAGTGAGACGTTGTTCCAACTGTTAAGTGTGACATGATTCCTCTCAGTTAGCTGAAGTCATCTAGAAGTCAAACATCTCATGTGTCACTGATGATGTGTATGATATGTTGTGTACTTGATATAAATTGATCAACTTCATTGTGTGTACTAAACATTTATTATATTATTCATCCATTGATCCTACTTGCACTTTCTTTCTTGTTGTTCCTTTCTTTCCTATTTGAGACTATCGTATCCAACAATGTTTCTGATATGCATTTTTCAGTTCTAATATACTTTAAACTGTGATTGATATAAAGTTAAATGTTTGAAATATAATAAATTTAAAATTCTTGTAATAAATTGAGATTATCATCATGTGATGGTATTAGTAGAATGTGGCCACTTTTTGAGTATTTATATTGGAGTTGTACTTGGAGTGTGATAGCAATTATGAGAGTTCTCAGGGGGTATATAATAGATTGAGGAGAGAGAGTTGTGTCGATATAGCTTATACAATAGAAATTTCTAACTCTCCAGGTACAAGATATATCATAAAAAATGCATGGGGAGATATTATTGCTACTAGATGTGTCTCATGCATGCTAAGGAGGCAAGTAAGATATGAAGCTAGAGTGATTTTGGAGGATTTGAACAGCACACAACTCAAAGACTTAAGCGTAACATAGGATTGTATAAGCAAATGAAATAGTTATATGTTCAAATGAATGTCCACTTGTGCCTTGGATTGTTAAATCCTCAATGGAAAATGTAAGATCACTTGCTAAGTTGGTTCACATATTGACCAACTTTGGCAGATTGTGCGTGGTTACACATAGCTGGGGAGATGGCTTACAACATCTTATAAAGAGACTTTTAGGTCAATCCCATAGTCGGGGGTTAATTAATGTCCAAAAATTAATTGGCTTAAACAAACTAAAATGAAAAAGAAATAACCATGCTGAATAAAATATATAGCAATCACAAAATTAAAAGTTAAAATGTTCTGAAACCCAAAAAAAGTATCAACCAAAATTGTTTGCATTGCCAAACTAATATGTCAATTCTATTATATTACATGTTAAAGTGATAGCAAACAAAAAAATGATAAGCTTGAGAGAACTAGGGGTAACTTAGAACCTAACATTTGCCTCGGGATCACTATAGGTACTCACTCCTTTAAACAGTGTTACAAACAGTAAAATGTAGAGCTAATTAAGCAGGCAATCAGACCTAGAGTAGATAAACAGCACTTTGATAGTTGGTACAGGTAAAGCATCTGCTGGTAGTAATTACAATTTACGATTACTACAGACAGTTGCTAGCACCTGCAGACATTTTACACACACCAAGATGAACGTAAAATAATTTACTCGAGGGACGATCTCAGGTGAGTAAGGAAGACATCACTTCCTGCCAGAAAATCAAGCTGATGAGCCACCTTCAGTACCGCACTGGGCGGCAATCATCAAGTACAGGATCATCAATATTCTGTCTTCATGGTCCCTTAACAAGTATAGAGGTCATGCTAAGAAACAAAAAAAAAAAAAAGAGGCTGACAAAACAAACTGTATCAGCTATTCAGAAACCGTCAGAACATCAACTGATTCTGCAATACAAAATAGACAAAGAGAAACTATATCGGTACAAGGGGAAGAGGCCCTGTAAGCAGTATTCTCATATGGAAGTACTAAAATATACCAAAAAAGGACATGGAGAGTAGCTTTTCCAACAAACCATGTCCAGAAATAAGTTCAAAGACAAAAGAAAATGTGAAGTTGCAACCAGTGTGAAACCACAATAATAAAAAAAATAGGTTATTTGTAGAAGGAATTCTTGAAGAAAATGATAATGGCATTAACAAAGCATAAATCCTTGAATATTACAAAAATCTTAGGGATAGAGAGAATCAGTTGGCAGTTGGTTGAGTAGTCATTCAGACAAACTAGATGCTCAGCACAACTGTGAATAGCTGCACCAGGAGAATCATCTAGTTGGGCCAACCTGTCATCAGTACCTGCTTTATTTCATCAACTTCTCCCTCAGTCTTGGTTTCATGTTTTAATAATATATGTACAGTATATCTCTGGAGTTGTTTATCAAGAAACTCGCAAAGAATTTGACAAACCTAACGATAGAAACATTATGGCACAAGCATACAACCATCCTATAAGTCAATCATAAAAATCTGAGAAGGCTGAAAAATATTGATAAATGATCCTTGAAAAAGGAACTAAATACTGTTTTTCAAAGAAATTCTCAAAGAATTTGACAAACCTATTGATACAAGCATTGTGACACAAGCATAGAACCATCCTCCTAGTCAATCATAAAAAAACTGAGAAGGATGAAAAAATATTAATAAATGATCCATAAAAAGAATGAACTATAAAATAATAAGAAAACTAATAGATATAATACAAAAAGACAATCAAAGTGAACTTGATGGATTTTATTATGAACTGTCAGGATTATACAAAATAAAGAAAGGAACAAACCACAGCATATGTGAACCTACATCTTATTTCATGTCAAAGTGGACTTGATGGAATGAAAACCGTGATCACATCATTTGGAAGAATATTTTGAATAACTAAACTTCTGATTGGGGCCTCTAAGCAACTTAATCATTCATACTCTTCATATGAACAACAACAATCAACCAACAATGAATATATAATCACATCTACCACCAGACACAAAATGAAAACCTTTTTGGGTATAAATGCAACTAATATTGAGCTACAGCAAATAAATCCAGCAAGTCATAAAGTCTAAAAACTTACCATATCCCTTCTTGTCCTTCTTGATGAACTTTAACAAAAACTTATCTGTAGGCAGATTTTCATCGCTGAAGTAGTACTCTACCTACAAAGTGATCAATTAATTAATCAAAGAAAAAGGAGATCCTACACTGCACTATAATCATAACATTACCCCTGCCACTGAGTTTAATTCACTAAATTTTGTTTATTGGAGATAAATTTACCTAATAATTTATGCTAGTATTAGCCCTTAAATTGGTACTATGATACAACTAAAAATTAGATTAAATGCAACAACTCCAGATGTCTTTGCTCATTTGAGATATAAGGTATAAGCGACTACCAACGTTGCGTCCAATTCCTTAACTCAGACACCAGGTTACTCATTGTAACGTGTGTTTGTTATACGCATCATGCAATAGTTATTATTTAATATTTTATATTAATCTTTTTCTTTGTTGTAAAATTCCAATATCATTTTAAACAACAACTTATGCTTCATCAATATGACTACCTATGCCTCCCAATCCAATCATTCCTGCCTGTTACTAAGGTAGATAAGTACACTCAAGAAAAACGAACCAACTACCAAGGCATCCACAGATATCTACGATTCGTCCTCAAGTAAAAGGAAATTGTATATCTACGGTACGATTCGAACCTGACGAACGATCTGATCACGGAGTTCGTCAGAGAGAACTGCCGGACCGGAGGGAGCCGCCTCCGCTTCTTCGAGAATAAGGTCTTCAGGGGCATCAGGGAAGGCGTCGACTTCAAGAAGGGGGTCGATTTCAGAGTCGCCAGTGCCTTCTTGCGGGTCACAGCCGAGATCAACGGCCGAAGGGTCGACCACGGGGTCTTCCATTGCTCCTTGGGTGACCCCGCCTGCCGACGCGTCCGCGAGCGGAGGGACGACGTCGGGGAAGGGAAGGGGCGGCCGAGAGGAGGGAGGTGGATGTGGAGGCGGAGAAGAGGGAGGCCGCTCTTGGGTTTCCATTTCCCACGGCGAGCGGCCACCGGGTTTGTATGAACGCGGCTCCCTCGACTCCGCCTCTATACGACCCCACTCCGGTGTGACTCCACTTTTATAGGGCGGTGAGACGGGCCGAGATCAGGACATGATGGTTAGGGTTAGGGTTTGTGGAAATGGGCCGGGCCAGATTTGTTTCGAGTCCAAGAAAAATAAATAGACTATAGTGCGTTTAATCATATAGTTAAACACAATGTTAATATTTAGAGGATTAATTATGGACTAAATAGTGTTTCTTTTTTGCCAAATACTAAAATATGCTATCTATGCAATATTAGTGATAATTATTCCATCATCGATATGGTTTCAAGCCCTATCAATAAATATAAATAATTTATAATGCATCTAATCGTGTAGTTGGCTGATGACACCACTCAAGAGATCAGTAGTTTTGAGCAAAGGAAGAAGATGGCAGAGTAAAGCATGGACTTAAATACTCCATTTTCATGTTTCTTCTAAATTTCATTGGGTAATTCAAATCCATTGTATAATGAGAAAGACTCTCAATGACTTGAAAACCATAAGTTGATTCGAGTATAGCTGAAAATTGATAAGGCCAACCAATTTTATTAGTTAGCATCACGTGGAATATAAGACTTAATAAAATTAAATGAACCGGAGAAAATATAAGATTAATCAAAAATAAAAATGGACGAATTTTCAAAAAAAAATCTCTGTTTTTTGGATTTTTATTCGAAAAGTAACCATCATTTTCATAATTATTTAGCAGTATTTTTTCTGCATAATACTTTAAATATTTTTGATTTGAGAGTCAACTATCAATTTTTTCTTTATTGATCGACCTATAGGGTTTTAGTATTCTTAGCAAGGTTTTTAATCTTGTATAGTGTCGGCGTACCGAGTGTTACGTCTAAATTAGACATAAAATCTTTCAAAAATATCTAAAAAAAATAGGAAGAAGTTTTTTAAGTTAGAAATAAATTTACATTTAGTATAGTTTTAACAAAACTAATGTAAATTAGGTAACAATAGTGTTATATATATATATATATATATATATATATATATATATATATATATACTTTGAGGAGTAATCTTGTATAAGGTTTACAATTTTGATCTATTTCGGATTATCCTTTTATTAATATTAAATTATCTATAGAAAAATTATTTTAATTGTTAGATTATTTTTGTATACAACTTAAACGTTAAGTTTTAAATAAATTAAGTAAACACATGTATCAATATTCTGCCACCAAAATAAACGACAAGCCTTCAAAGGTGGTGAATCGGGGTCATCGATTATATGTATATGTATATCATTATGATATGTTTGTTAAATATAATCCTGAAATTAATCTCACGACATAGTGTATTAATATACCGTATGTCATTGGTGCATCGGTATGATGGTGTATCAATACGATGATGGTCGTAGGTTAATTGTTTTGAATCACATGTGTCTTCAATTAGTCTCCTAAATTTGATCTAATCTATAAATTTTTATGTTGTTGAGTTTAAAAGAATTAAAATGTGAGAATATGTAAGTAAAAAAGAGTTTAAGAGAACATGAGAGTGAAAATAGAGGAAAGAAATGATTTAAAAACCCTTTAGAATGTATCCAACAGTCAAATTGATTATTTGAAAATCGATATAAATCAATAACGATTGGTTCAACTAGTATCCGCTGGTAAAGATTAGTAACAGTTGAAATTTTGATTGTTATTGTCAGTACAACCTCGTATTGTCTAATACGAACAAAAAATTTGATATCACTTAGTAGTGGGCGATCCACGTGCCGATAGGTTAGCGGACTGATATATATCGCCTGCATTGGGCAGTATAGTATGAAATTAAAAACTTTAATTTTTTCGTAATATTTTTATACTATATTATAATATTATAATATAAATATAAAAAAAATATTATATTATAATATTTTTGTATTATGTTGTAATATATTTTGATTGTGTTATAATATTTTCAAATATACAAACAAATCATTATATTATATTATAATATATCATAATATATTTTCTATATTGTTGAAAATACTATATCACACGACTATATTATAGTTGGATCGATCCATTGAAAAATGAACGAAAAGTGAGGTAGGTAAAGGGGGTATTAAAGTATATTATATTATAATTTTTCAGTAATATCAAAAAATATTATCACAGTATAAAAATATTATATTATATTTTTTTATTATATTGTAATAAATTTCTAATGTGTTATAGTATTTTCAATAATATCAAAAACATCATATTATATTATTTTTATTCTACATTAAAAAAAAATACTATTATACAATATGAACATATATAGTCGGATACATCTAAATGAAGGAAAAATGAGGTAAATGAAGAAAAAAAGAGGCAGGTGCTTAGTGAATTAGATTTGTTTTTTAATAAAAGCAGAATTCTGAAAATAATCCTAAAAATAAAATAAAATAATGAACATCTGACCTGCCGGATTCAAACCAGCGACCTAAGGATCAATCTGTAAACATACTACAATCCTCCGCTCTACCATCTGAGCAAAGGTTGGTCACATACTTTTTTCACAGCTAAGATATATATATATTAATAAATATTAATCGAAACAATCCACCATTTTAGTTATTATTTATAAGTTGTATGAATCTCTTCTTCATCGTTATACTATTAAATTATTATTTTTTGTTTATAGTAAAGTCACGGTAGCACCTGATGTAACAATGTCATAAGTTTTTCCAAAATATTTTATGGTTCGCCTTCCTATTTTGTGAATAAAATAGCAGGTGCTTAGTGAATAAAAAAAGCACCTGAAGGAAAACAAACATACTGTAGTTGGGCTGACCTAAATGGATAAAAAAAGGCAGGTGCTTAGTGAATTAGATTTTTGTGTTTACAAAAGCAAAATTCTGAAAATGATCCCAAAAATAAAATAAAATAAAATATAATGAATTTTCGACCTGCCGAATTCGAACCAATGACCTAAGGATCAAGCTGTAACACACTACAATCCTCCGCTCAATTTTTTCTGTATTGACCTATAGGGTTATAGTATTCTTAGCACCGGGAGTGTTACGTCTAAAATAGACATAAAATCCTTCAAAAATATCTAAAAAATCAGGATAAAATTTTTAAGCTAAAAATAAATTTATATTTAGTATAGTTTTAACAAAACTAATATAAATTAGGTAAGAACAATGTTATATTTTTTTTTTGACTTTGAGGAGTAATCTTATATAAGGTTCACAATTTTGATCTATTTCAGATTATCCTTTTATTAATATTGAATTGTCTATAGAAAAATTATTTTAATTGTTAGATTATTTTTATATACAACTTAAACTTTAAGTTTTAAATAAATTAAGTAAACACATGTATCAATATTCTGCCACCAAAATAAACGACAAGCCTCCAAAAATGGTGAATCGGGGTCATCGATTATATGTATATGTATATCATTATGATATATTTGTCAAATAAATTAATCTCATGACATAGTGTATTGATATACCGTATGTCATTGGTGCATTGATATGATGGTGTATCAATACGATGATGGTTATAGGTTAATTGTTTTGAATATATGTGTCTTCAATTAGCCTTATAAATTTGATCTAATCCATAAATTATTATTTTGTTGAGTTTAAGAGAGTTAAAATGCGAGAATACATGAGTAAAAAAGAGTTTAAGAAAACGTAAGAGTGAAATAGGGGAAGGAAATGGTTTAAAAACCCTTTAGAATGTTTCCACCGGTCAAAATGATTATTTGAAAATTGATATAAATCAGTAACGATTGGTTCAACTAGTATCCCCTAGTAAAGGTTGATAACAGTTGAAATATTGATTATTATTGTCGGTACAACCTCATATTGTCCAAAACGAACAAAAAATCTGGTATCACCTAGTGAGCAATCCGCGTGCCGATAGGTTAGTGGACTGATATAAATCGCCTGCATTGGGTGGTACGGTACGAAATTAAAAACTTTGATTTCTTCATAATATTTTTATACTATATTACAATATTCTTTATAATACAAAAATATATATTGTAATATAATATAAAATATTATATTATAATATTTTTGTATTATATTGTAATATATTTTGATCGTGTTATAATATTTTCAACTATACAAGCAAATTATTATATTATATTATAATATTTTATAATGTATTATAATATTTTTCTATATTGTTGAAAATACTACATCACACGACTATATTATAGTTGGATCGATCCATTGAAAAATGAACGAAAAGTATAAAAATTTTTCAGTGGTAAAGGGGGTATTAAAGTATATTATATTATAATTATTCAGTAATATCAAAAAATATTATCACAGTATAAAAATTTTATATTATATTTTATATTATATTTTATATTATATTGTAATAATTTTCTAATGTGTTATAGTATTTTCAATAATATCATATTATATTATTTTTATACTACATTAAAATAAAAAAATACTATTATATAATATGAACATATATAGTCGGACTCATCTAAATGAAGGAAAAATGAGGTAAATGGAGAAAAAAAAGAGGCAGGTGCTTAATGAATTATATATATTTTTTAATAAAAGCAGAATTCTGAAAATAATCCTAAAAATAAAATAAAAGAAAAAAAATAATAAACATCCGACCTGCCGGATTCGAACCAGCGACCTAAGGATCAATCTGTAAACACACTACAGTCCTCCGCTCTACCATCTGAGCTAAGGTCGGTCACATACATTTTTTACAGCTAAGATATATATATCAATAAATATTAATGGAAACATTCCACCGTTTTAATTATTTTTTATAAGTTGTATGAATCTCTTCTTCATCGTTGAGTTTTGTAATAAACCAATATCCTATTTATACTATTAAATTATTATTATTTTGTTTATAGTAAAGTTCCCGTAACACCTGATGTAACAATGTCGTAGGTTTTCCCAAAATATTTTATGGTTCACCGTCCTATTTTGTGAATAAGATAGCGAATCAAATTTAGACGAAGGAAAACAAACATACTGTAGTTGGGCAGACCTAAATAGAGAAAAAAAATAAAAGGCAGGTGCTTTGTGAATTAGATTTGTGTTTTTACAAAAGCAGAATTCTGAAAATGATCAAAAAATAAAATAAAATACAATAAATTTCCGACCTGCCGGATTCAAACTAGCGACCTAAGGATCAATCTGTAAACACACTACAATCCTCCACTCTACCATCTGAGCTAAGATCGATCACATACATTGTACGCAGCTAAGGAATATATATCAATAAATATTAAATTAATGGAAACAATCCACCATTTTAATTATTTTTTATAAGTTGTATGAATCTCTGCTTCATCGTTCAGTTTTGTAATAAACCAATATCCTATTTATACTATTAAATTCTTTTTTGTTGTTTATAGTAAGGTCCCGGTAGCACCTGATGTAACAATGTTGTAAGTTTTTCCAAAATATTTTATGGTTTATCGTCCTATTTTGTGAATAAGATAGCGAATCAATCTTAGACGAAGGAAAACAATCATACTGTAGTTGGGCCGACCTTACTGGAGAAAAAAAAAAAAAGGGCAGGTGGTTAGTGAATTAGATAAAATATTATAAATTTCCGACCGTCGGATTCGAACCAGCGACCTAACGATCATGTTGTATCACAATACAGTCCTCCGCTCTACCATCTAAGCTAAGGTTGATTACATACAAACTTTGCAGAAAAGATATATATATCAATAATAATAATGGAAACAATCGACCATATTAATTATTTTTTATAAGCTTTATGAATAACTTCTCGATGAGTTTTGTAATAAACCAATATCCTATTTATACTACTCAATTATTTTTTATTATTTCTAGTGAAGTCTTGGTAGCACCTGATGTAACAATGCCGTAAGTTTTCTCAAAATATTTTATCCGTTGTCTTATTTTATGAATAAGATAGTGAACCAATCTTAAAAAAACACAGTGTTAGGACCGACCTAAATGGAGTAATAAAATTAGTGGATTATATTTTTGTTTTTGAAAAGCAGAATTCTGAAAATGATCAAAAAACAAAATAAAATTACGAATTTCCAACCTGCCGGATTCGAACCAGCGACCTAAGGATCAATCTGTCCCACACTACAGTCCTCCGCTCTACCATCTGAGCTAAGGTTGGTCACATGCATAGGTCACAGCATAACGATATATATCAAGAATAATTAATCGAAACATACTACTATTTCCATTAATTTTTATAAGCTGTATGAATCTCTTGTCATTGTTGAGTTTTATAATAAACCAATATCCTATTTATACTATTCAATTAATTTTTATTATTTCAAGTAAGGTCCCGGTAGCACCTCATGTAATAAGACCCTAAGTTTTCCCAAAATAGTAAGGTCTTATTTGGCGAATAAGATAACGAACCAATCATATATGAAGGAAAACAAACATATTGTGGTTGGACCGATCTAAATGGAGGAAAAAAGAGGCAGGTGTTTAGTGAATTAGATTCTTTTTCTTTTTAAAGCAGAATTCTGAAAATGATCCAAAAATTAAAATGAAATTATGATATTCCGACCTGCCGGATTCGAACTAGCGACCTAAGGATTAATCTGTGCCACACTACAGTCCTCCGCTCTACCATCTGAGCTAAGGTCGGTTACATAGTGACCTTTTGGCTTGTTTTATTTTCACTAAACTCCAGCTTGCATGTATCTTCATCTCAAGTGAAGACTAAATTGTTGCAACCATACAATCTTCAGCATCTGCTAATGCGATCACATCTATGATGTATATTCCCTTAGATTAAATAGGATAAAACTGAACAGAAAGGAACCATTTCCAGATCATTCTTTTTACATCTAGATCAGCATAAGTAAAACATGTGTAAGACAGGGTACAAAGGTTCAGGTGTTACATGGGAAGATGATCAAACAGGTAGATATCGACAATACAGATGAGAAAATAATCGAGCATGTTTGATTGATGTTCACACAAATCACCTATATCTTGCCGCGCGGCCCAGGAGTAGGTGGCAGCTGAGGCCCCTTCTTGATTGGCAGTACGTCGCCCGAGGAGGTGGCTCCCAGGTAGGCTATGGTGGAGCCGCCACCCAGCAGCAGGAACTTGAGCAACAAACCCCTTTTAGTGAAAGGAGCTGCGAAAGTCTCGAAGAACTTGCTCTGCAATTCGACAAACGACTCATCGGCATCAATCGAAACACGACTCATCCCGAAACGGAAGCGGCGATGCGAGATTGGACCATGTCGCCTACCTGGAGAGGGTTGTAAGGCGAGGGGCCGTCGGAGCCGTAGAGGTCCCACTGGCCGGTGGTGTTCCCGAGGTCCTCGAGGTCGAAGTACACGCTCTTCTCACCGTACTTTGCAACCACGGCGGTAGACCTGAGGTTGGCACGAGGGGCGGCTCGGCGGGAGGGCTTGAGGGCGAGCTTCTTACCGTTGAAGGAGCTCCCAGCGAGGCCTTTCACGGCCACCGGTTGCACGGCTGCGACGGCGGTGAGGGAGGCCATTGTTGCGTTCTTGCCCCTTCGCTGCTACAATTCGAAGGACTGCGTTCTTTGCCTCGCGTCGCGGCGAGAATCTTTATCAGGTCCAGCACATATCGAACAGGTCGTGTGGAGCGCGAGTGCTGGGGACGATGAGAGTCCAATGAGGGAACGCCTTGTGGACCGACTTTAGATAAGCTTATCCCTATAAATGCTACGTGTCACAACTCACAAGACATGGCACGAATATTAAAGTCGAATTCCCTGTAAAATGCGATGTCTTTTTTCCTTTCTTTTCTAAACGGGTTCAAAGTAAATAATAATAATAATAATAATAATAATAATAATTATTATTATTATTTAATGTCTTATTCAACACAACCAAAGAAAAGGCAGTGTGGAGGGGAAATAGGAATAACATTAGGATTTTGAAAAGTGTGGACGTTTCTTAAGGGAAAAAAATAAAAATTAGAGAGTAAATACATACTCTCTGTGTGCCCTAATTGTGTGTATGTACATACACAATCTATTGTTTGGACCCCAATTCTACTTCCGACCCCTAATCACCCATCTCCGCCCTCCTCTGGAGACCCTCTCTTCTTGGAGCCAACACCGATGGCTGCCGCCGACGCGCCACCGAAACCCCTTCCTCCGTCCCCCGCCGACCCTGACGACGATGATGACTACCAGGATTACATCCCCGTCAATAAGCGCCGTTCCATGGAGGCCCAGAAGATCCTCCAGCGCAAGGGCCGCTCTGCATCCGCCGGCGATGCCGACGCGGACGAAGCCAACCACCCGCCGGCCCCCACCGAGGCCAAGCCGAGTCTACTCGTCAAGGCTTCCCAGCTGAAGCGCGACCTGCCGGAGGTCAGCCCCACCGAGCAGCTCGTCCAGCAGGAGAAGGAGATGATTGAGCACCTCTCCGACCGCAAGACCCTAATGTCCGTCCGCGAGCTAGCCAAGGGCATCACCTACACTGACCCCATCCCCACCGGCTGGAAGCCGCCGCTGGCCATCCGCCGTATGCCCGCCCTCCATGCCGACGCCATCCGCCGCCAGTGGCACATCCTTGTCGAGGGCGAGAACGTGCCGCCCCCTATCAAGAACTTCCGCGATATGCGCCTTCCGGAGCCCGTCCTTAAGAAACTGAAAGAGAAGGGGATCGTTCAGCCGACACCGATACAGGTGCAGGGGCTGCCGGTGATCCTTTCGGGGCGGGATATGATTGGGATCGCATTCACCGGATCGGGAAAGACACTGGTTTTTGTGCTTCCATTGATTATGACGGCAATGCAGGAGGAGATCATGATGCCAATCGTGCCCGGTGAGGGTCCCTTTGGGCTCGTTGTGTGCCCTTCGAGAGAGCTTGCAAGGCAGACCTATGAGGTTGTGGAGCAGTTCCTGGCTCCGCTGCGGGAGCATGGTTGCCCGGAGCTGAGGCCGCTGCTATGCATTGGTGGGGTTGATATGAGGTCGCAGCTGGAGGTGGTGAAGAAAGGGGTGCATATTGTTGTGGCCACACCAGGGAGATTGAAAGATTTGCTTGCAAAGAAGAAGATGAATCTTGATAATTGCAGGTATGATTGCTGCAGACTGTGGTCATCATTAGCAAATTATGTTATAACATATTATAGTAAGTCATGTGAGGATTCACTTTCTAATGTATGCTGATAACAAGTAAGGAAATGAATATGCTTCAAGAATATTCAGCCTCATATAGTTTTACAATTTCTGAAAGATTCTTATGCTCCTTAATTGTTATTGTTTGACTAATGTACTTCAACATTATTCTAATCAATTAGTAGTTCTTTGATGATATTCTTTCGTAGACTGTAGTCTTCCTGCACTGAACTTCAAAACTGTATCCTCAGTTGCCTTTGAACAGCAAGCTATTTGCAAGATCCTTTTACAAAGCTGTTAAATCACTAGCATCCTTCATTTAGGGCTTATGACTAGTCTAACACTGGATTGAAGGTATTAGATGGTGGACTGGTTTTCATCAAGCCCTTACCTGAACTCAAGAAGGGGCTTCCCTTAATAAAATGAATATGCCGGTCCCTTTTTGAGGGATACTCTTTGGGCTTGCTCTGTTCTTCACACTGGGTTCTACATTGTGTAGGACTGTGCCCCTAGATCCAGACTTAAGCCTCTCCAATTGCAGCAAGAGACAATCCAGTTTCTCATTGTGGTCACTCGGCCAAGATTCTCAATGTTATTTTTTATTCTTTTGGGTTGTTTTTCTATCATCTAAAAATTTGAACATTATTTGACCAGTGATGGAATTTATCTTGCATCTTAATTTCATTGACTTATTTGATTGACAAGAAATTTTTAACTCTTATTCGTTATCTTTAGGTTCTTCTATTGGAAAAACTTTTCTCATAACAAAGATATTCGTTTTACCTTCCTTTTGCTCTGAGTTAAAAAAATTTTAGATGATAAGAAACAACAAAAGTAGATCTTGTGGAATTGATCATTGACAATACATTTTGTGCCTTGCTAAGAAATTGATCCTTGTTTACCAACCACAAAATTTTCCTTCCATAGGGAACTTGCGAACCTTTGCTTTCCCCATTCCTCATGGATGGGAATGCTCTCATGTTGTGAGTGAACAAGGGTTATATCCTGAGGAAAGTGTCACTTTGCACATTCCCACATCCCTAAACCTATTTATACATCTTTCCCAGCTTGCAAAGAAGGGGAATGATTTCATCTTTTTATTTCTCTGTGTTTCCTGCACCATTCCTTTATTCCTTTGTTGTTGGTATTAGAGATGTTGTCTTCATCGTCCATGATCATGAATGCAGGCAGATAGTCCCAATTTACCTTGGGGCAGTGTTCTTGATTAATACTTGCACAAAGGCGGGAATGCATCTTAAGAGAGTGTTCGGGTTCCTTCTAATAATTTTTTAATGTTCCAACAAGTGTACCATTTCTGTAAATTGTTGCTAACTCCTCAAAACAAAATATTTTTGTCTATTAGCAGAAATAATCTAGTAGAGATTTTCATGAACTTCTATCACCAGATGACAGCAAATATTCCTGACCTATCCGTGGATGGATAGTAAATATTCACTTGTTTGCGAACAACACAACTGTCATAATGAGGGTGTTACCAGTGTCTGTTAGACCTCTAAATAACTGTTAGCTACACTGAATAATCTAACACAATTAACTTGTTATTTAGTCATAAAATCATTGTCTTCCTGCTTGTCATTGTGCTATGAAGTTCTTCCGTATATTGGCACTTGCATCTTTTATTACTTTTAGATTCAGAAGTTATTTACAAGAAAAGAAATAAGACTTTCTTAAATATATTACTTGATCTTAATGTTGACGGTCAGTTGTGATACTTTTCCAGTTCTCTTATAAATCCAACCCCTTTTACTTCCCTAACTTCTTATGGACACACATGCAATGTAAACATACATAGCAACAACAAGAACTCATGTGTCCTTAAATATATGGGGTTGGCTTTATCGATCAGTTGAGGGCTACATAGATCTAGAAACTTACAGTTCTCTTATCAAATACAACCCCTGTTACTTACATAACATACAATGCCACCCGCATAGCATCGACAAGAGCTCATATGTTCTTAACTATTTGGGGTTGGCTACATCGATTGTTTCACATTATCGATCTGTCAAGTGCAACATTTTAGTTAAACCAGGAGCTAACAAATTATAGAAGTACTTTTTTTTTTAATCACTAGGCTAGTCTAATCATATGGACTCGGGTGAAGTTCCTATTTTAATCTTGCAGAACGATGACTGTTAATTTTTATTGCATTTATGTGTTAATATAATGGTTTTCTTGTCAACAATCTCCTGATCTATCCTTTTCCTAGGTTTGGGATTGGCTATTAAAAGATATTCAACAATATTCATGCACAAGCAAGTTTTGATTCCTTACCAAATGTTGTAGGAAGTGATCCTGCATTTATTTTGTCAACATGGTATTCACTCTCCTTTATATTAACCTTCTTGCTCTGTAACTTCATGTAATTTCTTTCAATGAACAGAGCTTTTGGCTGAATAGTTTTATTCTTTTGCTATTTTTGAATTGTTTGGTAATTAATTTTTTTTTCATGTTAGAGTTATTCTAACCAATCAACAGTTCTATGATTGTGGCAATGAAGTTTTTGTTATCGATGTTGTTGTGTATGGTTACTCTTTAAACTTTAACTGATCAGCTTGGTCCACCTTGTCAAACTTTATCAATTTTATTTTTTTTTGACAAATATTAATAACCTAATTGATCAGATACTTTAACTTGTCTTGATATCCTTTGTAGTTTATTTTGCTTAGATTAAACTACAAACTTCTCTTTTTTTAATTTTTTGAACTTCTTCTTACCGTCTCAAAACAAAGAGTCCAGTACGAGTCCAGTACATGTAGAAGTTGATTGGATGGATCTTTATTTCATTTTCCATCAGTAGTACATTAGTCATCGTTTCCTAACAGTCGTCCACCTGCACACACTAAATAGATGGTAAGCCTCCTTTTTTGCTTTGTATTTCACAATCTCATAGAATCCCTTGTCATAGTGTAGTAAATTGTTCCCTGTGAAATCGTGGTATGTTCTCCAGCATCTTCACTAAAGATTTTCATTCACGGATTACAAAGAAAGTAAATAAATAAAAAGAGAAATTATTCATTATCTGGAGACTAACTAAAGGAAGAGCTACATTAACTGAAATAAGATTAAAAAGACTGTAGCATGACAGAGATTCTTCTTCATCTCTGACTGGAACATGAAGGGTGTTCTTTACTTCAAAAATCATTTTCTTTGTTTCTATCTTAGATTTTTGTTTTTCTAATTTATATCTACATGGAAAGTTTAAAAAGATAAGTTGCTGGTTCAAAACTTGAAAAATACATCTCTTTCTCATCCCTCAGCTCTTCTTATGATGGTTGCAATAATGACAACCATGATGGGAGTGTCAGTGACTATGGTGGCACCAGTGGTGATGACCTATGATAATAACAAAAGGTGATGGTAGTGATGAAGATAAAATAGTGTACCCAGTGCACGAGGCTACCGCCAATACGGGTTCTGGGAAGTGTCAATGTATGAAGCCTTATCTTTAAATGATGACAAAGATAGTAGCAATAACGATGTTGACCTCTGTGGTTATGGTTAAGAGCGAAGATGCTTCTCAACTACTTACATGTGATGCTTTGAAATACTAAAAAGCTACTTTAGTAGTTTATGAATCTTATTAGAAAATGAAAAGGTGGAGTTTCAGAAAAAGTTGCATTATCTAGAAAGTGATTTTTTTTTTTTTTAACTTTCTAGCTTCATTACATCAATTTATAGTGGAAAATGGAAAAAATTTTGGAAGCAAACATCCCTAAGTTTTGCAAGTGTGTCATGTTAGGCAACCATATCCAATGAACTTGGTATAACTAATGATATTTTCAGCAAAAATTGTTAGCTGTTCCTTGCATGCGCTAAAAGATCTAACTGTGATTAGCTATTTGTGAATTCATCTAGCATATGTGCAAGGATTGGTGCCCATATATTATAAGAACAATCGCACCACTCAACCACTACCTCCGCTGCCCCACCCCCTAAAATATTTCACAAAGAAAAGAAAAAGAATTTTAAAGGTCTATTGTTCTGTTTTCTTTTCTATATACTATAACATCATGAACCAGAAAAGGAACATCAAGGTTTATTTCATATCATGTAGGAAAACTCAGCCATCTGTCTTTCACCTATTGTTACAGGTACTTGACATTGGATGAGGCTGATAGGTTGGTAGACTTGGGCTTTGAGGATGACATAAGGGAGGTCTTTGACCATTTTAAGGCTCAAAGACAAACTTTACTCTTCTCTGCCACCATGCCCAAAAAGATCCAAAATTTTGCAAAAAGTGCTCTGGTGAAACCTGTTACAGTCAATGTGGGAAGAGCTGGAGCAGCAAACCTTGATGTCATTCAAGAGGTTGAGTATGTGAAGCAAGAAGCAAAAATCGTATATCTTCTTGAATGCCTCCAAAAGACACCGCCCCCTGTCTTGATTTTTTGTGAGAACAAAGCAGATGTGGATGACATTCATGAGTATCTTCTTCTCAAGGGAGTTGAAGCCGTCGCAGTTCATGGTGGCAAGGACCAAGAAGAAAGAGAATATGCTATTGCATCCTTTAAATCTGGCAAGAAGGATGTGTTGGTTGCTACTGATGTTGCTTCCAAGGGTCTTGATTTTCCCGACATCCAGCATGTGATTAACTACGACATGCCTGCTGAAATTGAGAATTATGTCCATCGTATTGGCCGAACTGGGAGATGCGGTAAAACAGGAATAGCAACAACATTTATAAACAAGAACCAAACTGAGACGACACTGCTTGACTTGAAGCACCTATTGCAAGAAGCAAAGCAAAGAATTCCGCCAGTGTTGGCAGAGCTCAACGACCCAATGGAAGATGGTGATGCTCTTACCAGTGCTAGTGGAGTTAAAGGTTGTGCATACTGTGGTGGGCTTGGTCATCGTATCCGAGACTGCCCCAAACTGGAGCATCAGAAATCTATGGCTATTGCAGGTTCAAGAAGGGACTACTTTGGTTCAGGAGGCTATCGAGGCGAAATATGACCCTGCTTCTTTCATCTATATGTACTGGGAATCACTATGACATTTCGGCTAGCGAACAGGTGCTTATCAAAGTTTAGATGTCTAAAAAACCAGACAAAAATCACAGTAACCAGAGATTAGAACCCATCTTGAAACTCGCAGTGCCAAACTATGTTGGGCTGGATGGTCTCTCATTCCTTTGCTGTTAGCGCGCAATGTATCAGCTGTTAATTTTGTTTGGGCTGTATCAGTTATCTTAGCATAATGGAAACATTATAATGGTAAACATCGACATGAATGCAATTAGTGAGAGTTTTGTAAGATAGTAATATTTGTGAGATTAATTTATTAACTGAAGCCCATCGAATGTTCATCAGTTGTCGGAACAACGTCATGCTGTGTGTGTGTTGCTTGTTCAAATGTTTCTGTTGGTGGTTCGTGATTACTGCTGTTTGTGGATGATTCTGATGCTAAATGGTCTCAGCTGTTGATTGTGTTATTGGATGTCAAAGCCCTAGTGGTCTCTTTCCAACATTTGCTTGAACATGACTTTGTCCATCACAAATTATTCTTCTTGAACAGATCCAAGTAAATTTAATTAAAGAATACAAGTCTTTAATTAAATTCATATACTTGATTCTAAGGAGTTGGAACATTATGTTATAAAGATGCCTATTACGTATTTAGTACTTAGAAAATCCAATCAAGATAATTAAGTCAAATCCCTAATTATGTCGATAAGATGATCAAAATAAATAATAATTAAATGATAACAGCATAATATTATAAAAAAAAAGAAAAGAAAAAAAGGGGGACATTATATTGGATAATATTACAGGCACCCGTTGGATACAGTTTCTTCCCATGTCCATATCTTGTGAGGTCAGCCACTGACTTCAACCATGGCCACCGAGTATCCCCAAATTTACAACCCTAACCCTCACCTCAGGACAAGCTCAGGTAGACGGCAGCGGCCACGCCGGCTGCGTACACCCCCATCACTCTGGCGACCACCTCCGCGCCGGCACGGGTCGCCACCCCGACGCCGGCGATTCCAGCGGCCCCGATCGGTATGAGGCGGACCACCGCCCCTCCGGCGCCAGCCATTACCGCGTCCCGGAAGAGGTCCCCGGCAAACGCCCGGAAATCGGTCGGGTTGAGGTCCTCCGTGCCGCCCTGGATGGTCCTGCGGAACGCCGCGTCGACCTGGGCGCGGCCGGGGGGCGCAGGGACCCAGCGGCGCACGAGGGGGAGGGCCCCGAGCTCGGCGTGGAGGCGGGCGGCGGCGTCGAGGAGCTGATAGCGGCGGACGCCCGGGAAGGCGTGCTGCGCCTCGGCGCGGCACCAATTGTAGACCGCCTCGCAGGTGGCGTCGAACTCCGGCGACGAGGTCAGCGCTCGCTCCACCCTCTTCGATGCGTTTAGTCCCATGTCTTCCCCCACAGCTTCCGTGCGTGCGTGCTAGAGAAGCCAGCTATTTGGGCGGATATCAAATGCTCCGGGTGGGACCGCAAGTGGGCCGTTAATGATTTTTTATCAGACGTCAGGTAACAGAGCGGGTAAGTACTGCGGGTGTGAAGACATATTAGTTATTTATTTAAGAAAATATTATTTTTTTCCCATTGGTACAAATATTTAAGTAAGAAAAAATAAGCAAAAAAGTATAAATTATGTTTTGGATGATGACGAACAACGACGCACTAAGGGTCGAGAGTGACTATTGTAAATGAGAAGGGAGAATGACTACGAGAGATGAAGCAACAATATAGATGCTGATGTTTTGCATCTGAATCGGTGTTGCTTAGCATTTGCACCAATGCATATGCAGAGCATCGGCATTTGCGTTGTCACCTTACCTCTTGCTATCACTCTATTTTCTCATCTACAATAGCCACTGTGATCACAGCTACATTGTCATCCGCTACCATAAAAAACATAACTGAGATATTAAAATTATCTTTTTGCCCTTCATTTTCGTGTTTTTATCGGTAAAAGCAACGATACTGAGATAATGGAGATAGATGTTTCACTTTTATAATTATAGATATTTTAATATAAAATTTTGAAATATAGAAATCGGGATATCAGAGAGATCTAACTACATGGGGTAACATATAATTATCCTTACAAATATTCCTATATTATGATCTTATACCTCTTATAAATAGTTTTTGAAGCTTAACTTAGATCAACTAAAACCATCATAATTACCTTATCCCCAAAAATATTAGTTTGAGGATCATAATTACCTTATCCCCAAAAATATTAGGGAAATAGGTTGGTCCTTAGTGTGAGAGATTTTCTAATTGCAAATATTTTTTAAAATAAAAATTTAATGAATAATATAAAGAAGGACTCATGAGATTTTGTGGCCTTATTATCTTTCATATCATAAGAAAAAATTTATATAGACGATTGTTGAATGAGCAATATCGATCTAATATAATTGAAAAATAACATATAAATAAACTCGTGCTTTTAAGAAAAAAAGTTAAGATACTTGAATGAAAATAAGAATAAATCATTCACATGTATTAAGAAGATTTAAAAATATTATAGTTAAAAGAGGTAAGTCAATTAGCATATTAGTACAAGACCACAAAAATTTTACTAGAGAATAAAAATAAAAATAAATAAATACTAGAGAAAGCTACTAGAAGTGTATGAAGCTTATTTGTTCCAAACACTACCTCAGATCAAAAACTTGAGATGCTTAGGAATAGAATAACCAACATTTAATTTCGAAGGGTTCTTTTATTCATTTGGAAGTTTTTCTATACTTGGATTTCTTATCTCTCAAGCAACTTGACTTTTTTTTGCCTCAGTATGTTTGTTCTTAATGTCATTTCTTCCTATTGTTAAAACTGAAAAAAGACAATTCCTACATTTACATAAAAGATAATTGTTTAGGATTCTTTCCATGAATAAGAACTTGAGGATATTATCCTTCAAAAAACTTGATTGTTTAAGCAACCTTGCCTTTTGCTTCAGTATGTTTGTTCTTAATGTTATTTCTTTCTGTAGTTCAAACTGAAAAAGGAAGCTTTTAACTTCTTGGTGGAAGAAAATTGTCAGTTTAGGGCTACTTTCTTACTCTTAAGAGCTCATGATTTATCAAGGAAATGGTGGGGGATCAGAATTGATCCAATACCTCTTCAGGCACATTCAATTATGAATATTTTCCCCATACAGCAATTCCAAATGACACAAGCAAAAAAGAAAAAAACAAGTTCATTCACCCACAGCTAGTGCAGCAAAGGAAGAATTCAATATGGAACAGATTTGCAGGTTGTTCCAACTTGATTTCTGACAGCTAAAAATTATGAATAAACTTGTTAGGTAAAAGGAACTCAAAATGCCATGGGTTGAAGAAGATCACAGGAATCTTCAAAGATCTTATTAAGTGGTGAAGAGCCAAGACAGCTCAAAGCCGAAGTCACTTTCTCCCAAAGTTACTTTATGTTAGATTGGACAATTGCACATTGGTCAAAGGATCCATCCTTAATGACGATTAGTGATGATTGAGATGACATCCATCCTGGGACTGACCTCCGAGTCTCTGATAAGCATAGACAAGTGTGCAGAGGTTCAATCCAGACTGGAGTGGATACTTCTTCTTCTTCTTAGATGAGAGTACTATAACCTTATTAGTGAGTTTCCTTCCTCCTTAGATTCATCCAAGAGAAGAAGAGAAAAATAAAAGGCCTTGGATTGAATCAGTCTAGAATTATTAATCAAACTCATGCTTTACTTACTGCACAACCTTTAGGAATTAAATAAAATTTATTGTTTTTTTACTTTAAAATAAAAAAAACAATCTGTTGGGCTTTTATTCCACTTTTTTTTTAATCTCTAGTTCCGTATACATATGCATACACCTTATATTAAGGTTTCATGAATAATATTATTTTTAGGTACTTTTAATCTTTTTTATGTGCTACGAAAATTTACGATAAGAATATGCACTAAAAACTTTGCTATATATCATTTAATGCATTAATACAAACTGTCTTTGTTACTCAGACAGGCCTTTACCATGAATCAGAGAAAACTAAAATAATTACATTTATGGAAAATAGTAAAACACCATGTAATATATTTTCATTGAACCCATTGTTATCTTTATCTAAAGAAATTGTCCTTGCAATATATTTTCATTGCATCCATAATCTTCAGTGATGTAATAATTTCCACTCACTTTTAGCCAGTAAGACACTGACACATCTTTATGATGCAACAAGGGTTACTAGAAGATTTACTCCAATAGAATAGTACTACATGATGGATGGGGAACAAAACCCATGCAGGTGACATGAAAGCATGACTTAGGAAGAGCCAATAGCATGCTGATACCATTCACAATCTCAATCCCAACAACAATGTCTTTGATCCAGTGGAGGGAGAAAAACCAAAAGGTGATACATTGATGTGAGGCTATACGTCAGTGTTACAGATAGGGAATGCCACATTCAATGAAACAAATTGTGATTGTGAGGCAAAGTGACAACAAGCTGAAAGAGCTTAGAAGCCATATATCCACACACTTTTTTAAGTGCTTCTATTTATCAAAAGTTAATGATTGATTGCATTGTAGCGTTTGATGATCATCAAACGCAAGATAAAATAAATGTTAAAAAGTATTTAGATGTGAAGGTAAAAATAAAAATTAAGAATCCAAAGAATCAAGTTATATATATTTGCTTTCTTCGATGATTTTAAATTCAATTATTTTCAACTATGATATTAGATAGGGCCAAGAAATAAATGATAGTCGATCTATCCAGAGAGAGAAAGAGAGAGAGAGAGAGAGAGAGAGAGAGAAGAATACAAACTCATGGTGAGGTTCCATAGAAAGGGCACGACAAGGCATTGGACACTTCGGATTGGTATGTTCCTCTGATAACTGCAGATTAGATCGATAGAAAGAGAGTGATGTGCGTTCGATGTGTTATATGATGGAGGAGAACGGCACCGAGTGCAGATTACGTGATGGACTTTTTTTGTTGGATGTCCTCTGCATGTCCATTCAAGTTGCATTGATTAACGTTACACCACTTCATCCTCTTCCTCCCTCTCCCATATGTGGAGTCCTGTCTGTTCTTCTTCTCACCCTCCTTTCATGGGGAAAAATAGACGTGCATCTGAATCGATTGAAAAGGCTTGAAGGTTGAAATATCTCAGATGGCAACAATAAAGAAACAGGAAAACGAAGAATCAAGAGCTTATCTGAATCCTTGTAGCATATTTTTTTTCTACCTATGAACTTAAATATAATTATATATTTTATAAAAGAAAAAGAACTTTCAATATTCGTAATATATTCATCTGTAAAATGCTTTTAATTTATCACATAATTTTAATACTATTTTAACTCCTATATAATATCTTTTTCTTTTTATTCTCCTTCTCCTCCTCCTAATCGGTAATCGTCGGAATTTGGTGCATCATCTCCCTCATTCTCATTCCTGTACTATCAAAGAAGAAGAAGAAGAAGAAGAAGAAGATGATGGAATCCAAGTCTTGTTGGTGGGTCTCATCCCCTCTCCTTCTGTCTCATACTCCATTTTCCATGGGAGTGTTATCTTGCCTTTTATAATCACATCAACATGACTTGTCTGTGAATCAATGGCTACTGGATGCTGAACGACATCTGAATCCTTCAATGTCACATCCCTCTTCTTTCATCCTCCTGTCCTGTGGTCCATTTCTTGTGTGGTCTGAGAGAGCAAAAGATGCTTTAAGACTTGTGCTCCTTTTTCATGCTCTTATTCATCAACATCTTCATCAAGCATGGACTCAAAATATGCTTCTTTCTTGCAATTGGAACTCCTTGCTGAGCTTACATTCAATTCTAAAAGTTCAAGCTTTCCCAGATTTAGGATTCTGAAACCGACCCTTGAGCTTGGTGCCAAAGTCATGACACATAAATGATGCATGAGATGGGTCATCTCAAATAAGGAAGGGAAAAAGAAAAGAGACAATGAATGATACTAGTTTCATATTAGTCATAAGCTTATCTAAATTCCTTTATGTTTTGGAGGACGTGAGGGGTTAAGTTTATCTTGGATAAGCGAAATATTTATGCCCAATCATATTTCGACAGATAACATTATAGTTAGTATAAAAGTCAAAAGTCCTCGATCGCCGATTGATGATTATGCTAAGCATCAAGAATTTTTTAAATAATTTTTGTTATACGAAATATTCCTCTTAAATATCAAAGGGATCGATATATATATATAAAGGAAACCGACGATGGTTATCAAGATTTTCTCATTACACTCGTGCTTAATCCACTTCAGAAATCTAACTTAAGCATTAGAGATATCTAAACATCGAAAGATCGCATCGAATCTCACCCAACCTAACATTAATCTTAGTGTAAAACGTTCGATATTGGTCTTAGTATAGATCGACCTCAGATTAAATACCATCAAATATATCAAATGAATTTGAAGATTTTTAGACTCAAATTGGTCGAGCAATCTAAGTCAACCATCGACCTCTTTACCTATTCCTTAATTAGCTCTGAGCAATTCATTTAACATAATGATTTTTATCTAGCAATAATAGGACGGCTCTATCAAATTGTGAAATGAACTCTCTCTCTCTCTCTCTCTCTCTACATGTATATAGTCACCTCAACCCTGAGAAGCAACAAAAGAATACTACTACATCTCAGGAAATGAGAAAGATAACGTTAGGCAGCAGAAACGAGGCGGTTGAGCCGGACTTTGTCCGTTCGGTCTTCACCGAGCTGCTCCTCACCTTCCTCTTTGTCTTCGCCGGGGTCGGCGCCGTCATGACTGCAGGTAATTAACCCAGCTTTCCATTTCTGAGCCTGTTATGTGTGCATGGTGGTGATGGCGACGGCGGTGGTGGTGGTGGTGGTTGCAGAGGAGGTCGCAGGAGGCGAGGACCGGATCATGTGGGTGGTGGCGGCCCCGGCAGCAGCTCAGGCGATGCTGGTGGCGATGATTACAGCGGTTGGCCTCGATGTCTCGGCCGGCCACCTGAACCCCGCCGTCACCATCGGGTTTGCGGCCGGCGGCTACGTCACCGTCGTCCGCTGCGTCCTCTACGTGATCGCCCAGCTATTGGGCTCCTCCATGGCCTGCCTTCTCCTCAAGTACGTTGCTGCAGGACTGGTAAGCTCGACCACGCTTCCCTTATCACTTCCCCTTCTTCATTCCTCCTTTCTTGGTAATCAGCTGGCCAGAATCGAATCCGATCGTTGCTATATATCTCCTTTCTTGGTGACGAAGGATGCACTCCTTGCATACGTAATTGCTTCATTCGAAGCATGAAAGGTGTGTAGTTGAACATTATATGAATCCAAAGAGTATATTTCAAACAAGCATAGAGGAGAAGGGTTTGATTTGATTTGATGTTCTGCTTTCCAATTTCGAATTAAAATATGTTAATAAAAACAGCAAATTAAAATCTCAAATATAATTTAATAAATATTTATTTTCAATACATTACAGCACTAATCTTGATGCAGGATGTACTCCCAGTTCATGCACTTGCTGCAGGAATGGATCCGCTCCAAGGCGTGATCATGGAGGCCGTCTTCACCTTCTCCATGGTCTTCGCCATCTACGCCTTGATCATGGACCCCAAGAAGGGCGCAATCGCCGGCTCCGCTCCCCTCCTCATCGGCCTCACCGTCGGCGCCAACTCCTTGGCCGGCGGGGCCTTCTCCGGCGCGTCGATGAACCCGGCGAGGTCATTCGGGCCGGCGCTGGCCAACTGGGACTGGACCAATCACTGGGTGTATTGGCTGGGGCCCCTCGTCGGAAGTGGCCTCGCAGGGTTCGCTCACCACCACCTCTACGTCGCCGGGACGCATGGCGTTCTCCTTCCCAAAGATGACGAAGTCGGCTTTTGATACTACTGATCTGTGTTGTGAGAATACTTCGTTACATGTGGATGAGACGGTTTCTATAACGTCATTCTACGTATCGTTTTGAAGTCTGTAAATAGCGAGCTTGATAAATATTCATATATGTCTAAATATTAAGATTCTTCTCATATATTCCTTTCATTGAATTCATAAAAAAAAATTAAAATTAAAATTATTAAGTTAAATAATAAATCATATTTTTAAATAATAAATCATATTTAATCAGATTGGACCAATCACTCGGGCCAATTAAATCGGAAACCACCTTTTTACTTGATTCATTAATTATATTATTTTTAGAATCATTTTATTTTTCACAATTCCTTACTATTGACGATCTCTTTAAAAAAAAATTATTATTTATAATTTTTGTATTACTGATTTTATCTTTTATTTTTCCCTCCATAATCTCTTTTTTTTTTTTTTTTATCCCACTCGTTATTGACGTTGTCATCGTCATTGTTGCTATCGACACGGCTTATCGTTATGATGCTACTTGTCTTCCCTCGACGTTACGATTGCAAAGGAAGAAGAAAAGAAAGAAGAATATAATATTTACGTACGATTGTAAAGGAATAATTTAAAAATATTAATATTTTTAAATCTTTCATTTGAAAATAAAAATAAATACTTTCTTCTTCTTCTCTCATTTTCTCCTCCTCTTGTCATCTTCTTCTTTCACCTTAAAGGACGACATGGAGCGATGAAATAAGAGATTATGAGGAAAAAAATAAAAGAAAAGGATAAAATCGATGGATCGATTCATTTCCAATTTCTTTTTTGAAGCTTCACTTCAAATGCCATAAGCTGAAGAAATTTTCTACACTCGAGTTCTTCCACTTGAGACGTGGAAGATTTGTCAGGATTACCTTCTCGTTGTTGCCTACACATTTAAGACTTGCTAGAATTATCATCGTTCTGCACATTTAACAGATCATTTGCTTATGTTCTTCGAAGGTAGTCCCTCTCACCTCCATAATTAAATTTTGAAGCATGCAGTTTTCAAAGCTGGTTTTGGATGTAAGAAGAAGAGAATTAAGTTGGTTTATTTTGGACTAATGGAACATCAAATCTGCCAGGAGATTTGAACTTATTTATAATGCCAGATGGTTCATTTAACTATTGGATGCTAATTATTATCTCATAAACGATCATTTTATGTAGTTATATACGAAACCTAATTAATGTGCAAGCTGATGATAGATGATGAGTACATATTAATATAACGTCTTCACAAAAAGTGGGAGGAGTGTTCAAATCCATGCACAATCTTCATATTATTCTTAGCCACACTCAAACTATATCACTATTAAGCAACACTTTGTATGTACATGACAAGAGGCCAGAGTTCATGAAGCTAATATTGGCCTCCAGGAGATACATGAAAAATAACAAACATCAACTCCCAAGGCTAAAATGCATAAGGTTCAGCATTACTTTGGCAGAAGGTGGTTTGCAGAAAAAAGCATCATCATCTTACACAGAACCCACCTCTTGAAGCAGTTTCTGGTCAGGATCTACATTTGATATGCAGTGGTCTGGATTGGAACCTTTGTGATAGTGGATGTTATCATACTAAGTCGTGTCTGGATCATCACTGCCTTCTGAGTGCATGACAAAGCTCGGAAAGGCCATGCTTATGTCCCTGCAGAAACAATTCCCATATGCGCCAACACAAATGAGATTGAAATGGCATATCATTTTAGATATTAAGGTGGTTGGACACATTTAGCAACAATGAATTAGGGAAAACCGTTTTTTGCTTATAGATATGTGCGTTAAAATTGAACTATAACTAATTGATTCTTGTTCTTATTTTTAATTGCATTAGACATTCTTAGAACAGGAAAGTCAAGCATATATAAAGATGATGGTCACAGAGGACTCGAGGAAGAGATGCAGTTGATCGGTTGGTGAGTTTAAAGTCAGTCGTGTGAAGATGCAACCTCAGAATCCACCTCGAAAGAGCAAAGTCGTGCAGGGCCCATCCCTGGTCATACGATCGGCCAAGGTTTCTGATGAGACCACATCATCAATAAAGATGCACAAGGCCTACACAGGCTTTCTAACAACATTATGAAATGCCATGTCACAACAAATTGGTCAAGTATAATTCCTAGAGAAAAATCTGAATAAGGCTTTTACCCAGTCATTTTTCGGGTGAATATGGCTAAAATTTTGTCACCTAAATATTCTTTCAACAGGTTCTTGTTTGAAATTCAGAAGTATAAGTTACCATGAACAGTTGTAGTATCCGAGGTGGTAAGGAATCACTAAAATATTATGTATAAGATGGCTATTGCCGTTCACATCAGTGTAGAATGATCAAATGACTTGCTTCAGAATTCCCAAGAAAGGCTGGTGGTCTTAGACCATGTTTTTTTAGTTCTTGGTTAGATAGGGAGATCAGGGATCCTAGAACCAATGGTTTAATTTCCAAACATGTATTAGTTTTGATAAACCACATACTTCTCACCTGTTGTCTTGCTACCTCTTATCTTCCTTGCCATTTCTTCTTTGCACTCTTTGTATTTTCTCTATTCCATTTTCATTTTGTTCTTAATATTCACCTTTTCTTAACTCAATATTTTGCTGTTAATAGATTCCACTCACCACAAACTTTTATTTATGACCTCTGTCCTCTGTTATTTTTAAATCTGTTGCAAGGCCTGCAGCAGCTGTTAGCAATAGTACAGATTTACCAACTACGATTAAATTATTTCCATCATTATTCAGCACTCTTTAGCTGCATCTCTTGTTCTGTTGTACAATGTTGTTTTCTTGGTAGATAACATTGCGGTGGCTAATTGTACTTCTTTATATTAGGATCTATATGATATTATAATTTGATTCAATTCCTGAAAAATAATATAGACAACAGCTCTTTTTTTTAATCAACTACTTCAAACTGGACATCCTAAAATGCTTGCAGGAGTAGCTCTTACTTGGTCATGCCTTATAATATGCTGCTTAAAGTCCACTGGCTCCATTATCCAGATGTAGGGAAATGATCACACAACCAAATATGCCTAGAGACTTTTTGATTACAGCAAAAGAGGAAAATGTTTGGAATTCATCCAAGAGATGGGATAATGAACCTACAATATCTAGTAGCTTCATCACAAGCCAACAAAAAGAGTCCAACCCAGGATGAACAAAAGCACCAATTATTCTTTCATGTATATGAGATTTTGATTAATAATTTGCTTATTGGCAGCATTTAAATCTTAATGGAAAAACATTAAACCTACCATACATGACATAATCAGAAAATTCTAACCAAAATAATGTTAAGACAGATAAGAAGACAATAGATGCTGAAAGTGCGAAACTTCAGTTTAAGACTTACTTCAAGTATGGAAGAGTCATATTTCTGATCAAGGATGGATTTTTTTTAACAAATTCCCTCCATTCATCTAGATCTATCTTCCCATCGCCATTTAGATCTGCCTGAACAAAAGTCTACAAGAGATGGAAATAAGAATAGACTTTGACAGAGGAAGTTACAACAATAAATGATGTAATAAATATGAAACTATCTTCATTAAGAAGTTTCAATCTTACATTACCCACGATTGTCTCAACAATATCATTGGAAAGAAACACATCAGATTCATCGAGAAGAGCCAATACCATCTCCTTCAACTGTTAAAATCAACCAAAAAGAAGAATATTATTCTCAAATGAGATAAAGCATGACAACATTCAAAATAAATTATCCATACAGGTTTATTCTCAGTATACAAGGCATAGTCCAACAAACAAGCATTACACATTACTCCTAAAATAGGGTAAGCCAATAAATGCAAAATCTAAGGTATATAAAGTATGTAGTAGAATGGCATAAATTGGCTCTTCAAGTGATGGAACTTATATTGCAATTATGGAATCAACTCAACTCATCTTGCCACATTTCAAAAGCCATTGTTACAATGCTTATATATCAACATAGTTCTATGAATCGGTCTCCTAGGTTATTGGCACATGGACCACCCTAAACTGGAGGGTCCACTTCCAAAACGGAGATTATCATTTGGTAAGCCATGTAAACTGGGTATGCACCATCGCTTGTTGCACTGCCAACTACTTTCGGCCCTTACTAGTTGCTTCTGGTTCTCCTCGGCCTTCTTGTATTCCTCTCCTTCCTCCTCCTCTTGCTCCTTCGCCGCCACTACTGATACCTTGTCCTCCTCTTCTTCTTCTCCTCTCTATCCCACACCACCCCAACCCAACCCCTCCCACCCCCACCCCACCCCACCTTTTCATTTGTAGTTTTTCGTGGTATGTCCTAGGGTACCATGTTGTCCCGGACCATTTGAGCACGCTCACAATGTGCAAAGTCTTGTCTGCATAGCCATCAATCTTTTCGGTTTGTGCATGGTTTAAACAACATGTAGCAAAGCTTGTAGAAGTCTTGGTAGCCATATTTTTGTTAAGTCATATGGTCATTTCATCTTATAAGCGGTGTTCATGGGTGATCATCATGCGGAGGCAAAACTACCTTTAGCTGCAAAAACATCTCGGCATGTGGAAGAAAATTCATCGGTCATCAAAGCACCTTAAAACCAAAGCCTTAGATGACACAAGGCTGAATGGAGCTTTGTGTGGTGTTCAGGATTTGATTGTTTCATGGCCTTGTAGTCATGCACTTGTGAGTGGGGACTTTGCGAGCGACAGGCTAGCCTTGGACCCTTTGTCTCGTGATCATCCCAAACAAGCAAAGTTTGTGAATTTTCAATTGCTAATTATTTGTTGAGTTACGCTTATGTGATACTCAATCACACCTTGATGGAGTGCGGTGGCAGTTTGCCCGACATTTGCTCATCACTAAACCATTTTCTTTGTATGCAGATCTTCAGGGGACTGTTTGAGGTTATGGAAAAATTGATCTTTTGTGAGCAGGTGTGATAGGAGTGCACACAACCTAAGCAAAACCAGTTAAGTCTATGAACTATGTCAGCATGTAGGAATGGACCAGAGCCATACTGATAAAACCATGGACTGGCATGGGGCCAGTACTCAATTGAAAACCTTGCATAACAAATTACTGGAGTTTGTGATAATCAACTTATGTTCTAGCTCTGACATTCATTAGACAAAGCCAAGAAAAATATAGCCTATGGTGGTACTTAAGGACCGTTTGCTCAGGTAGGACTGTCCACCTTGATTATTATGCAGTTTTGAGATCGTAGAACAGACCTACTCCCTTTACATGATCCTGTAGAAGGAACCAGATCAATGATGTCATACACAAAGTTGTATCCTTCTCAAAGACCACATAGTAAAGCAGAATTCTAAAACTTCTTGATTCATATCCAGTTTGGTGTCTGCCTTAGTCTAAGAAGCACCTATTAGAAGTAGTATGAGTTGTGATAGTTATGGAAATCATCAGACTTTCAGATGTTACTGAATTATCATACTGTAGTCTCTGTTTGAGAGACACCAAAATTTTAGCCTGAAAATCTTTTACAATCCTTTATAACAAATTCTTTAAAAAATGGGAAGTACCACTATATGAATAAAAACAGTTTTAGATACTTCATCAGCATATTTCTTCTAAGACAAAAAGTAGGCTATGTTGGGGAACTCAAGATCAATCAGACAGATTAAGGAAGAATTTAGAGGCACATGAATATAGGCCTGACCACAATTCGGTTTGAACCAAAACCAGAATCGAACCGAACCGAAACCGAACTGGCCCAGTGGTTTGCCTATTCCAAATCAAACCGGAACTGGCCCCGGGCGGTTTGGTTCTGGTTCCTAGGTTTGGAAAACCAAAACAAAGCTAGCGATTACGATTCTAGTTCGAACCACTAATTCCATAATCTTAATTTTTTTTATTATTCAAAAATAAATTTATAATTTTTTATATTTAAATTTTTTTTAATTAAAATTAATAAAAAATTGGTTGTTCGAACCAAAACCATCGATTCCGATTCTGAAACTGGCTCTTGTTAGTTCAATTCTGGTTCTTGGTTTTGGGGAGGTTCCAGTAACTGGAACCGTGGTTAGGCCTACATGCATATGAGTATCAATTATAATGCTACGTAAGATGTTATTCTTTATGCAAAAGCAACATCTACAATGATAAAATCAGAAAACTTAACATAGTGGTACTTGAGCATGTTGTACAGACAACACATAGAATATGCAGTGTTTTATATAGTTTTAACCATTTTTCAATATTCTATGATTACTTCTTTGTTTGGTACCTTATAGGAGTTCTAAACCTTAGTGATGTTTCACAATCTTTGCCAACAAAATGGAAATATCTAAAAATTTGATACACAGAAAAAGATACCAGTTGTCCAGGTGTTCTGCGATATCATATGATAACAAATGGAATCTAAGAGAAACAAGAAATGACACTCACCTCCTCACGCTCTATGTAGCCTGTTTGCCTTAAATCATACAATTTAAATGCAACTGCAGGGATAAAAAAGAACACTATTGAGGCATAAGCTATATTTGAAATTGCATCAATAAGAAATTACTAATAATAAGTAGACTGACTAAATCTGATTTTGAGAACTATCACCAGCTGATCTATTTCACTTTGAAGACCAGACTACCAGAAGGCATGATATAAAGAATTTCGTACATGCAATTTTCTCAGCTTTGGGAGTATTTGGGTGAAAGATGCTAAGTGATCGAACAAATTCTCCAAACTCAATAACCCCGTTGTTTTTTATGTCAAACAAATCAAACACCTGCAAAAAATTTAAAATATGACATATCATATTACAACTATGAATCACCTTTATTTTTTAGAAGTACTTCCATTAAGTTTGCCAGTACAAAAAACAATCATGTCCTTGTGACAAAATGGAAAGAAAAGAAGGATAAATCATAAAACAGTAGATTCAATCAGATAAATAGAAGCCAACTGTTAACAGAAAATCCTTGGATAGATAATTAGAGTAAACAAGTTTCAATTATAAACCATCATACTGACCCTGTCAGCAAAGAGATTCTTCCTGTTGCTGTTCCTGAATAAAGCAAGCTGAAATTCTTCCTGCTCGATGAGATGATCTAAGAGTAAATATACAAAAGCAACGAAGAAAATAAGGTATTGTGTTGTAGGTCAATTGCTAAGCATAGTAAATACCTTGTGGATAAGTCCATCCTTGATTATTGAAAAGCTCAACTTTTTAAATAGTTCATAGAGTGCTTCTACTTCATGTACAGTGACTGCCATGCAATACAAAGAGATGGTCATTTTGGCAACACATACATAATCAACATCAACAATTGCTGTACTGCCCGAAATGGTATGGTACGAGCGATACGTATCGGTCCGGTCATGGACCGATACGCAGACCACCCCGTTTCGGGCAGTCCAAATTAAAATAATAAAAAAATCAAAAAGTGGTGGGGTCCAATCCATTTCAGCATTAAAAAAAAAACGGATCAGGGCTCTTCTTGAGTACAAAGCCGTAGCGCTGCCTCTTCATCGCTTTGCCACTGCGATGCTGTACCGGTGCTACTTATTTTCCGCTTCGTTGTTGCAGTGGCACTACCTCTTCGTCACTTCGCCGCTGCAGCAGCACTGCCTCTTTGCAGCTGTAATGTTGCTGCTTCCCTTCAATGCTACTGCTGCTTCCCAAGTATCACTACACTTCTTCTTCTTCTTCCTTTCTCCTTCTTCCTCTATTCCTTCATCGGCCCACCCTCTTCAACCTCTTTCTCTTCCACATCGAAACACCGATAAGCACCGGCATACCATGTGCTGATACATTGGTACAAACTGGTATGTACTATTCAAACAGATTGCCAAAGTGGGTCCGGTACCCGAGAAGGCAAACCTTGGTCAAGATACCATAAGCTCTTAATAAATCGTATATGCTGCACTTGTAACTGATAAGAAATTCGAGCACATAATAAAATACTGGAACATTTGATACAAGTATAAGCAAAACGTCAAGTGGGCTGCTATTGGCCAAGAAAATTCAAGAACATCAACATGTATCAATAGAGAAGTTTTGAATAAAAAAATATAACTGAGTCCATGGGTTTTGTTCCAGTATCTTCAAAATGCTATAATGGATGAGAAGGCAAACAAGATCTTGTAATGGCACATCATAAAAATACACAACAGCAGTGTCTGGGAATTATTAGAATGTTAGTGTGAAATATTACACAACCATGATAAATTACAGAAAGTTTTAGGGAAAAACAAAAGGAGAAAAAGAGAAATGGTAGATACTTACAAGCTGTTTCAGAAGCAAGTATAACGGGATCTTCGTACCCCGGTGGGTGTTTGACAACATGCTTAGAAGACACACAACCCATCGAACCTCAGCAAGCAGAAGCAACTAAGTTTAATTATAATGTCTTGCTTCAGATAAGCACCTGAGACTCGAGTGGAGAAAATCCAATTAGATGCAACATACAGAAACAGAATCAAATTACCATAGATCGACATAAAGTGGAAAGATGAGTGTTAATCAAAAGAAATTAAATTTGATGGAACACAAGACTAAGAAGTCAAGTTGCTTCAGCTAAAGGACTTGTGTGATCTGAACTGGTCAGAAAATTCAAGCACAAAACCGTATTTTGTGAAAGATTATATAATCACACGTATCAGATGAAATGAATGATCATATCAAAGTCAGCTTTGAGATTATTCTCTTCCTTTCAATTGCTTCTGTGTGCCGAAAATTTGCTTGTACGTTCATATACCAAAAGAGAAGGAGAAGGAAATCAAAATTATACCATGAAAGGCAAAATTGACAGAAGCTGCAAAGTTTAGAACTTTAGCAGAACGAATACCGATACGAGATAGAAAGAAAATGTGATGTTTCATTTCATGGGGAATCTCAAACTTGTTCAAGCATGGGATTGATCCATACACAGCTACAACTGCGATATCAGGATCACCATAGGCCACATGAACTAGGTAACCTGACCCCATCCGAATCATGTTCGAAAAATTAGCCTAAATGCCAAAAGGATCAGTTTTTGACGCACCCCCAGTAAGCCTGGAGCTAAGGGCTCGTGTCTGGTATGCGTTTCCTCAGAAAACGAAGGAAGAAGAAAAAAGCTTCCTTGGAAACACCGCTTAACATTGACATCAGAGGCTAAACAAGAAAATCAAGGAAAAGAGAAAACCATGGAGAAATCGAAAGGAAAAGAAGCCGAAGAAGAAGAATCAAGAGGAACCGTATCGAATCGAGCGAGATTGACAATGAAGAGAGCAATGGTCTCAACCTGTGAGAAGACGGTCTCCGGGGCCGTCGAAAGAAGACTCGGAGGTCTTCCGGGAGCGGTTGGACGGAGCGGTAGTCCCAGAAATGGGGATCTTCTTGGGCTTCTCGTGCACCACTGCTTGGCTTCGCCACTCTCTCGGTTCTCTCTATAAATAACAACGACGACGGCGACGACAAGTCGTAGAATCCTCTGCCCTTAATTTTTAATTAATTACATTTTTAAAGGATAATTTTCCAAAAATAACTCACTTATTTTAAAAAATTTAAAAAAAAATTCACTAATGCAAATTTTTTTAAAAAAATTCTCTTAAAGCGTATTTTATTTTATTTTATTTTTTCTCCTAACAAATCTCTTCAAAAAAATCACCTTGACCTTAATCCTATCAAGCCGCCTCCCTCTTGGGTCTGCTTCATTACTCCATTATTTTCGTTCTTATTTATTGTTGTTGAGATATCAGTCGGGATCAATCTTGCTCGTTGTTCCAATCACTAAGACTCTCCTGGTCAACCTATTGCACATGTCGTTGATCTTTACAAATAAGACCATAGACGAGGACGAGGATTGCTTGTCGTCCTCATCATCGACTTTGGTGAAGAAAGTCATAAATGAAAGCCACAAGAGCAAAAACGAGAAAGTGGGGAGAGAAGGTGAAGGCGATGGACGAGAGGCGGAGAGCAACAGAGTAATATCATCTTTTAGAAAAAAAAATCGTTATATAAAATTTGTAAAAATAAGGCATTAACTAAAAATATCTGAAAATGAGGGTTTTTTTTTCAAAAAAAATCTTTTATTTTACAATGCCATGCATAAAAAATGTAATAAATAAATAAATAAAACGTATAAACTTTAATATATGGATTGTGTATCAATAAATATCTTATGAAGAATTGAAGGTTTTGAGATCAAATTTCACAAACTTACTGATTAAAAATATTTATATTAAGGATGGTAATAATTAATATAAATTTGTTGAATTCTTATTTAAAATATAAAAAACCTTAAGCTCTCACTTTCAATTTACATTTATTACTTAATATCCAATTTGGTGTAGGCCTCATAAAAGTTTTACATAAAATTTAATATATATATCGATATTAATAATTATTTTAGTATATTATTTTTTTATGATTTTAATAACAATAATCATGTTTAGAAATAGCTAAACAAAGTTGACGGAATCACAAATAATAATGGGGTTTATATAATGTATTATGATTAATGATTGTGATCATGTTAGACATCAAATAATAGATTTGATATGGATATAAAGGTGAATGAGTAGTTGAAAATGAGCATGATTCACAAGCAAGCTCGCGAGCAAGACCTTTCGTCCTTTCTCTGTCTCTTTCTTTGTTTAGCTTCTAAATCTCTCCATCAACAACATCTTGGATTCACTCCACCTAATCGCTTTGGACTCCGATGTGATTCAACGATAATGTATAAAATTGCCCCTCGGTGATTAAAATAAGCCATTATTAGAGTATCGATTGAGCACACATTATTAGCTTATAATTGTTCGACCCCAACTCAATCTCGGTCATCGTTTTGAGTGCCACCTATCATTTATTCACATAGTTATCAGAATTATATGAGTTTTTGACCAAGTCAAGCTTTCATCACTCGTGGAACCTCTGATCAATCTATGAAACCAAAGATTAGTCGCTTACTTCTTTTCTTTGTTTCACTTTCTCTCTCTCTCTC